AATAACGATAGGCTTCTCAGACACAGTACCAACAAAACAATTAACAAAACCTTGTTTAAATAATATTTAAGAGAATATTTGTTTATATAAAAAAAACCTTTTGAGGACATTCCTTGTTTATGATTTTACAAAAGGCATTTCTGACTTCAGTCTGCGGGTGGCGCTGCAGACACTGCTCAAAGAGTACACTGAAGTCAGCAAGTCGGTCAAGGAGAGCAAGCTGATTGGCTTGCTGCAGCCTGTCAAAACACGGCCCAGGAGGAAGGCAAGGAAGTATCTCTACGCTATAGGTAACGGCCTCTGCTTGGCTCACAGGTTCGAGAAACTGACCTCTTGTGTAGAATATTCACCTTCAATGTGTGTCATTATTTTAGCAGACCCTGGTTAAGTTTTTTGGTGGCCATCTTGTTAATCCTCTTTTGTTTTATATTTTGTTCTGTGTGTTTCGTAGTGGCCTATGTTGAAGTGATCTGTAGGCTTCCTTGTGTGATCCTTCCATGTCGCCCCCCCCTTTTTTTTTTTTCAAAGGGGGCTACACCCGGCTGCAGGGGGGGCGCTGGAGCGACAGTCGGGCCCTGAGCTGCGTGGAGCGCTTTGACTCTTTTAGCCAGTACTGGACCACTGTGTCGTCCCTGCACCAGGCTCGCAGCGGACTGGGGGTGGCCGTGCTGGAGGGGATGATCTACGTGGTGGGAGGTCCGTCCATCTCTGTGTCCTCAGGTCCCGGAAAACAGATGTCACAGAGATGCTGTAGCAGAACTAATAGCTGTTTGCCCAAAAATACTAAAGTAATAGAACATTGCTTATCAGATAGAACTTTGTGTTGGTGATCATTGAAGTGTTTAGATGTGAGAGTCACTGGATTCTTTGAGAAAGACGCAGCCATGTCAGTCATCGTGAAGGGCGGCGTGTTGCTCTGTAGAGGAGCGCCTGTATGTAATGTCCTCATGCTTTTCCCCAGGTGAGAAAGACTCCATGATTTTCGACTGCACAGAGCGCTACGACCCCGTGACCAAGCAGTGGGCCGCTGTGGCCTCTCTGAATTTCCCGCGTTGTGGGGTGGGCGTGTGTTCCTGCCATGGGGCACTCTACGCCCTGGGTACGCTCTCACCAGGGTGCCTCTCGTTGTGTTTTGCTCAAGAGCGGGCAGAATACTCTGTGACCTTTATGTTTTTGGGTTTTTTTCATGCTTTGCAATTGTGCTGGCAGGAGGTTGGATTGGCTCTGAGATTGGGAAGACGATGGAGCGGTACGACCCCGCCGAAAATAAGTGGGAGATCATCGGAAGCATGTCCGTTCCTCGCTACTACTTTGGATGCTGTGAGCTGCAAGGTGCAGTCTGGAGTTTTGGTGGTAGGAGCGCTATGCTAGTTTTAGCGATAATGTTAGCATTAGCTTTAGCATCGTCCTTCTTGTCTCGCTCCCAATAGGGTTTATCTACGTCATTGGGGGAATCAGTGACGAAGGTATGGAGCTGCGCTCGGCGGAGGTATACGATCCCATCTCCCGCCGATGGAGAGCCCTGCCTGTCATGGTGACACGTCGAGCCTATGTGGGCGTGGCCAGCCTCAACAACTGCATCTATGCTGTTGGGGGCTGGAATGAGGCTCTGGGCTCCTTGGAAACAGTGGAGAAGTACTGTCCAGAAGAGGTGAGGCATCTTTGCCTGCGCTCCACATCTGCCTTCATATTCCAGGTTCCTTCTGCAGCTGTGAAACCTGCCATGCAGCAGAATACACAGCCTCCTCCTCAGAAAAAATTGAGACCACGGCACAAATTTTTGTTTCACTCATATTAGGGGTGCAACGGTACAGGTATCCCACGGTATGGTCCGTACCTCGGTTTTTGGGCCATGGTTTCGGTTCGGTTTCAGTATATGTTTTGTGCGTAAAGAAAACAATGTTTTTTCTCCCAAAATTATACCTTTGTTTTGCTTATCAGAAAAAACTGCATTTCACAGTGAACAAATTCCAGTATCACTGATGTACTGAATAATACAACGTGGGTCGAGCGTTTTAATTAAGTGGCGAAACCCCACATCTTCGACAACAGAAAAGGGCTGCAAATCTTTAGCGATGAACGCTCCCTATTTTCTTGTTTATCTGAAGTGGCACAGTTCAAAATCATTTTCGAAAGACAGTTGTTTTGCTGCGGTTATCTTGTGCTGGCCATGCCTGTTTGTTTTCCTTCTTCCGCGTCTGTGTTGCGAGCTGCACTTCGACCTCAGCTCCAGTTATAACAGCGTGAGAGGGGGTGAGTGGGTGGAGGCACAACAGTGATTGGACATCAACTCGCGTGAAGGGCTTTCGCCTATTGGCGCTTATTGCTTAACAGCAGCCTGTTAAGCAGTCAACACGAATTTCAAAATGAAATGCAAAACTGAAATCCCGCGGTCCATAAGGGCCTATTAGACTGTGCAGGGTGGACTGAACGGTTCAGTATTTTACTGAGTCCCGTTGCATCCCTAACTCATATCTTATTTTTTGGGTGTGTATCTGTGAATAATATATATTTTTTAAACTGTAGCCTGGTTTTTCTGTGTTTCTCATTGATGAAGGGCTTCTTCCTTGTTTTATGGGTCTTCAGTCCTGCTTCTAGGAGCCTGTTATGAATTGTCCTAGCAGTGCAATTCACACCTGCACTTAATGTTTCCTGTTCTTTTTGAAGGTCACTTGATGTCATCCTCCGATTCATGAGAAATTCTCAAAGTTAACAGTCATCTCTGGCATTTAGAAAGTCGCTTCTGCCCTCTACCTGGCTGGCTTTTGGTTACTACCAGTGTCTCCTGCTTCGCCTTGTTCTTGTGTACTACTGTCTTAGAAATTTTGAGCCTGGAAGCAGCCTGCTGCTCAGCATAGCCTTCTGTCAGCAGAACCAGGATTTAAAAATGCAGATTTGTTTAAAAATATAGTGGTCTCATTTTTTTTCTACACCTGTGTATTAGGCAACCATCCATAATTGTAACCTTAATTTTTATTACACATAAATTTTTAAAAAGGAGAATAAACTGTTTGCAAATATTGAGGAAAACTGAAAGAAATGGCTGAAAGATTTGGTTTTAGGGTCAACTCCATTACTCCCCTTTACCGAATCTGGCCCACGAGACAGAAATGTATAATGTTCTGTTTGGACTGATGTGCCACTATCTTTCTTCGGCTTCCTGGCCTAGACTCAGGATCAGCTGGACCCCAGCTTGATTTAAGTTAGCGAGGGTGTCAACTTGACACTCAGACACCCTCTGACCGCCTTATACACCTCCCTCTCTACACAGGAGAAGTGGGTGGAGGTGGCCCCCATGACTGTGGCACGGGCTGGGGTGTCCGTGTCCGCCGTCAACGGACTTCTTTACGCGGTGGGGGGGCGGGCCTCCAGCAGAGACTTCTCCGCCCCTGTGACTGTGGATTCTGTGGAGATCTATGACCCCGATTCGGACACCTGGACTGAAATCGGCAACATGATCACCAGCCGCTGTGATGGGGGCGTGGCTGTGCTGTGAGAGCTGATGGCCCCCCCTGAAGAGGCTCAGATGTTAACCACTCCATCCCCCCCCCCCAAGGCAGTCATGCTGCCATTCACCCACTAGTTAGCTGAGTGCTCAGTCATTACAGATCTTGAGTGACCATATCCACATCTGCACCCAGCATTCTCAGCCACTCGTGGAACACAATACAGATACGACATGGGGGAATGTATCCCGATGCAGAGGATTACATTCTGTCAGCCCTGAATAACACAATTATACATTGATACCAATGGCAAATGTATTGAGTGTGGAAACTGCTATTGCAATGTAATTGATGTATGGCTTGATTTTGAACAAGGAAGCTAATGATTTAATGTTAGATCCGTTGTTTACTTGATACTTTGTATTTCTATACATTGTTTTAATTTCCCCAGCTTGCAGCTGAAAAGGGGAAGTGCTTGTGATGCAACTTTCCTTCAACTGGATCCCTAAGTCTGTTTGCGCCTTAGTTGTGGAGGGTCTGTTTTTTTTTTGGTTTTTTTTAGGAAAATATCTTTCTCTTTTGAAAGAGTTATTTTAGTTGTATATGTGATATTGGATAATGATTGACCACAGTCAGAGGGATGGGTTGGGTCCAGCTAGTATGTGGTCCAGTTATTCTTGTTAATCACACTGTGTTTTTGGTTTGCTGAAAAAAAGTCTCTTTACGCTAATATTTTATGTGAAGTCCGATATGGATGCAGGATGCTTTATGATTGATTTTTCTGGTCTGCTGTTTAGGCGGTATGATAATGTTTGTCACGTAAAATGTTACAGCAAACAGTACATATCCCGTGAATCATTTATGAATGCCAAATTTTTTTAAATAGTCAAAGGAGATAAAATACCATATCAACTGCCTTATGTACAGTTGTATAGATGCACTGTTACAGTGGTTAGAGAATTATGTATTTTGCTACTGGAGGTAACAGTTACTAATTTGCATTTTGATATCTCAAAATGGACAAACCTAAAAATAGATCTAAAACGCCCTCATCTAAAAATTCTTGGGTACAGTGGAACACATACACAACAATTCGAGGACCCGTAATATGAAATGTAAGTGTTTATAAATTATTTTAACCTGCAGCCAATGATTGCAAGGAGTAATTCGGGAGGACTGTAGAGGGGTATAAATCAATGGATACAAATGAGTATTTTTTTACCATAGAGGAGCACTGTAAACTGTGGGATAAGAGCAGTAGGACTTTAGAATGCACGCTGGAACATAAGACAATTGAAGAGAACAGTAAATGTCATCCTACCTGTTTCGTAATTAATATGTTAACCAACGCTGCATTTGAAAATTAAACATCTTGGAAAAGGACCGACTTATTTTCCATTGCCTGAGTTCATTCATCTGCAATACAAAACATTTCATGTAACATCCACCCCGATGCGTTACACATTTCAAGACAAAATTCTTTTGGAGAGTATGCAACCAAAAAAATACAGTTGCACAGAAATAATATGTTTTAAGAACCGACTCACTGCAAGACAGTTTTGCATGTTTTGTTTTATTTTCTCCAGAAAAATATCTGAGGCAGTGTGGAATCCACGGTGTTTCCTCGGACTGTATTGTAGATTGTTCAGTGTTAAGTAACTACACACGTTGTAAGGAAATACCACCACCTCGTAATAACACAGATTCCCTCTGTCTTTTATTACTGAGAATTTTCACGCTGAACACTATTTGTCTGCGAAGAGTTTTCTTTCTGGGTATACTCCTTTCAGGAACAGGGTCGCAACAAGGGAGAAAGTGGCCACGACCGTGATGACTGTCCGCAGGGCTTTGAACCAGCTGGGATAGGTGGGCAGCAGCGCTAGATCATAATGCAGCGAGATCCCTAAGCCCATGATGACCACGAGGCTCGCCTCCGTGATGCTGTCTCTGAACAGGAGAGCGATCCACGCCAGTATGGACGGTACCACAGCGTTTGTCAGGTTCATCCAGTCCGGCTTAGCAGGGCTGCTGTCCGGTAGGGCAAATCCCCAGCGTGCCCCACCCAGGAAAGAAACTATAGAAGCCCCGTATGCAACCTGAGCGTATGCGATCTCTGGAACGTATAGCTCCGACATCGCCATGACTAGAGGAGGGAAAATGAAGGGGATGAGGCCAGAGAAGCCCAAATACAGAGCAGGCTTGGGTGCTTTCATCAGGTCTTTCATGTCATAGCGCACCAGGTCCAGTTCACGCGGCTCAGGATCCTCCGGTTTGCGTCGCCTATGCTGGAGCCATGACGCAGAGGAGTGCAGCGGTCGAACTCCTAACAGGGAACTGCCCATCTGCCTAGGGGGGAGACGCCAAAACAGCCTGGGAGTCCAGGAGGAAGTGGGAATCGGTGGTACCCTGTATATCTGGAAAGACTGCAGTGATGCATAAACCTAGATGTCAGAAAAGTGTATTCAGTTAGTACCGACACTGCAAATGCTATAATCTTCGGTATTTCCTGTTCAGGCTCTTGAGTTCCTGTTAACAGTGATATGCATAAAATTCCTAAGATCAAAATTCACAACCGGTCAGAAAAAAAGTTTAGAAATGCTGGAGCCTTACCTTGCAGACGCACATGAAATTTCGTTTAACGATAAAGGACATCATTTTTAAAACCATAAAAGAATGACAGCAAAAAAACCGTTATCGGATAGATTTCAATACCAATTAGCAAAACGAGATGTATGTACAAGCCGCTACTTATATAACCTCTCCCTGTTATTTTACACAGATCATATTAAATGGCTGGGGGACAAAGTCTCCAACACATATTGTCATAGACCATGTCTAACTCATAATCAGAAAAAGGATCTACACGAGATTCCCACTTCACGCCGTTAAGGTCATCACCATGATGGTGCGCCGTTGTATTCGTTCCGGTGACATATTCAGGCGTTGTAAATATATACAGTTCCGGCAAAGCTCTTTCTTGTTTCGTTAGTGTGAAATTAACGAAAAAAGTCCTATATTTTCTTTACTTTAATTTATTCCATGAAATTTATATAAACTAAAACAAATGTAATTAATTGTATGGCTACAGATGTTTGTAAAGCTTTAAGAATCTCTTTTTAAATTTCATTATAAAATGCACATTGTTACATATAATGACAAGCTTTACATTTTCCATTATGATTAGCCTCTTCAGAATTTTTATTATAAAATTGATTAGTTTATTCCCCACTAATATAATAGATTCCGGATGTGCGGCTATGTTGATTCTTGTTGTAACGCCGACTGCCGGTGCGATTGCCGAGTTGCAAGTCTGGAGGCGACTGCGACGGGAGAACCACGTGACCGGGCTGTTATGACGCCTCGATCGACCAGCTCGGCGATCGACTGACACGTCCTGCGGAGCGGCAGTCAGGAACAGGGCAGATAAGCTGGCCGAGAGCGTCTAGAGCGAACGCGTTTCGGGAAGGGAAAAAAAAAAAAACAACAACAACAACAACACGCCGAGGCAGAGACACACCACAGACACAGACGGTCCGATCGTCTCACGGTCCCTCTGCAAGGACTTGCTGCTCCTCGGCGAACTGCGTGAGCATACTCCGCATTCGCTTCCGAAAGCGGAGGTATGTGTGTTTCTATGTATTTATCCCCGTGTGGGCTGGGGTGGCCATTTTGGAGTCGTGTGTTGTTTCAGAACTGCTAGCTACCAAAAGGTCTGTTTACCTCTGATCGTCCCGGCCTGTAAACGGGCCACCCCGACGTGGTGTCGCAGTTGCCCCGCTTGTTTGCACTTATATTCTGTACTCTCGGCGCCGTGTCTGCTTCTTTTGCGCCTCTGCTCGTCATTTACGGTAAGATGGCAGAATTATTGCTGTCTGTAATGGGGGCGTATTTTATATCTAGGTGGCTGTTTGTATAAATATGGAGTGGTCTGCGTGGGCCTTGGGTGAACTAACTTTGTTAGCCTTAATATCTGCGGCGGGGGATGCCGGATTGACCGTCCGGGGGCGGGATATCGGGTGGGCGCCGGGCTGGCGTGGCCAGTCGCCCGTCTGCTTGGGCGTCCAACCTGCCGGCCGCCTGCTGGATCGCACTACCGCACTTTGTGAATGAAAGGGTAAAACTGACTCTGTGAGCCGAATCAGATACCATTCAAAGTTAGGCGGGATGCGCTGACCACTTACTGCGTTGGAGGCGGAACGCTCCATATATTTCCATGCCTTCCCGGTGCAGGTCTGTCTACTTGTTTATCCCCTCCTCCCGATACTGCAAAGCTGACCGACAGGTGAACATCATGCTTTCATTGATGATTGACCCCCTTTCCCTGTATTCTCTGTGGGGCTGGCGTGGGATCCGAGCTTGATTGTATAATACCCCGGCGGAACGGGGAGAGCGTGAACTTCACTTCATCGCACGTGTGAGTTTGTCTGTGAATTTATGAAATGCATGACGAACAGAGGTGCTTGCTATGTGTCAGATTGTTGTTTTTAGTCTATTGCATTTACCCATGGGATACGTGCACGCTTTTACGTGACAGACACGCACAGCTCCATTCGGATCGCATCCCCGCCTCTGCCCGCTTTCCTGCTCCATCCGTTTCGCTGTCATTTCACTTCAGATTCTTTTTGCTTTCGGAACAAGTCAGATCGTGTCGTTGAGAGTGAATTACGGCGCCAGTATCAAGATCAGCCTATCCCTGTTAATTATTAACCTGTTTAATATGGTTTTTGACGGTTGTGATGGCCAAAAAAATAAAAATAAAATGTATTATTTATGCCTTTCTGCTATGCTTCTACATTGCCCGCACTGAATAGGAATATAGTTTATCAAACCTGTTGCATTAACCTTGCGAAAACAAGCTGTTGGTTTAATTGACGAGAAGTGCAGTCATCACCACAGAAAAACCTGTAATGGGGCACTTGTTTTTATTTTTATGATTATTTATTTATGTTTGATTTTTAAAGCCTCTAGTTCCTATGAAGGGTATATTAGTGTATTAATTTTGGTAACAATATCTAGGGAAAACCTTTTGTAGGATTTCAAAAACCCATTTATATCAAGTTGCTTTGAAGCTCAATTCAAGTGCTCCAGTTCTGTCATTTTGCCAGACATCAGATACTGTTTGACAGTAATAAATCTATATGTTTATGCATTTCATAAATGAGAACCGCAGAAGCGGGTATCAGTTAGTGCTGCAGTACTCTGGTGAGAGATGTGCGGGACTGCATTCATCATCAGAGGGTAGGGGTTTTGGTGTGAAGCAGACCCAGGATGGTATCCTGTTGGGCCTGTTGGTAAACCTCGGTCCTGTGATGTTAGTCCAGTCCAGCTCATCCCTTCATCCAGGGTGCACCAAACAAAGCTTCTTTTTAGTGTTCGCGCATTTTTATTTTGTGTTCATGGTACAATGAAATGATCACTTGCTTGTTTCCTGTAAACCTTAGTTCGAGATAAATTTAAGACAATAAATAAAGGGCAAAATACAAGTGCAGTGACCGAGATAAAAAACCTCAAACACTGAGCGGCAACAAAATGAAAGCAAATTTTTTCAGTTCCTTATTGTGTGTGTGTGACTCCATTCCTAATAGTATTAATTAAACGCTTAAGTTCTCTTCAAACAAGTCGGCACAGTACAGAAAAGCAGAATTCTGTAGCTTTCATAGCAGTATACATTTGTCATGTTTACTGTGAAAGTTTTAGTTTTATATCTGCCGTTTGACACACCTGTCATTTGAATATATAATTGGTCCTAAACGGATCATTCCAGCATCACCTTTCTGTAACTGGATTGGCGTCAGGTGCAGTTGCCCTGTCTTTTGTCAGGAAAAACGTTTATTCAAAGTTTACTACTTCAGTTGACGCCCAGGTGTAGGTAAGTGTTAATTGTTTAATGTGTACTGGTTGCACACTGGTGTGAGAGCTGGTAGAATTTGGTCATTGGCATTGAACCTTTTCTGTGTGCATGTAGTAAGGATTTTGTGTGAGTGTGTGTGTGTGTGTGTGTGGGGGGGGGTGTCCTGCTATGTCTGTTGTATGCATTTTTCCCCCTTATCTCACTTTTTTTTTTTTTTTCCCTCCCAGATTTTTTTTTTTGTCAGAGGAAGGGGTGAATATTTCTCGAGTGAGCCTGGCGGTTCTGATGACCTCTGGATTTGCGGCACTAAGCTTTCCCCTCAGGACGAAGTTCGCACAGTTGCACTGGTGCTGGGAGCCCCCCCAAGCCGGCCACAGCGTACCTGGACGCGTGCTTCGGCTTCCGGGCACCCGGCGTGAAGCTCCCCTCCTGCCCAGTGACACGTTCGCTCCCTGTCGCCACTGAGACGCCGTTTGATTTCCTCCTGGTGACACTCTGCCGGTCGCTGCCTTGCCCTACTTTTTGCCGGATGGAAATAAATGGAAAAGCAAGTTGAGGATTAAGCCTGCGGGTTCCCGTCAAACGCTCTTGGTATTTTTAGGGTTTCGCGAGAATCGTCTGCTATGCTGTAACGTGCGAACTGGCTAAGAGGATGGTGATGTCTGTGCCGTGAGCTCAGACGCGGCTTGAGAATGAAACCAGCCCCCTGTTTTTAGGAGTCTGTAGCTGAAATGCTTTTTAAATGAGGTGAGCGGTAATTTCCGGCACTTTCTGCGAGGCGGCCGCCCGGTCGGTTTTTCTCCATCATACAGGCGTTATGCGAAAAGCGAAAATGTCTTGGTGAAGTCAAGACGAGAGTCATTTGGCACACTGTGCTTCTCCCAAACCCCCGTCCGAAGAGGAGCTGGGACCCTCCTGTATAAGGCAGGACCTGTCTGTCTTGCCGCCCGTCCCCACCCCCCCTCCCCCCCCCGTCCTGGGGGTTCCAGTGCCCCTCGAGACTGAGGCACGTCTGAGTGCTGCTGGAGCTCCCCCTGGGAGCAGCTCGCCCAATAAGGCCCCCCCATAACCACGACAACCCCCAGACTCGTCACACGTGCCCAGGCCAGACCATCCTCACTTCTGCTACCCCCACCCCCAAACACCACCCACTAAAGGCTCCATCCTGGAAGGACAGAGACCACCTGCTGTGGGGACCGTGCTGTCCTGTGGCCTGCTTGGAGAGGCGAACCTTGCCGTGCCGCGGGGAAGGCTGGCCGGCCGAGGGAGCCGCTCGACTTCGGGGCCCGCCACTCCGGGTGAGGCTCCCGCTCCCGCTCCTCCATGGGGCTGTAATGCCCCTCCCCCCAAAAAGCTCTCCTGGGCCCCAGACTGGCTGAAGGGATTTATCTGCAGTCTGTGGTTCATTTTCAATTCACACTCTGCTGAAGGTCCCAGTTATTGCTTAAAGAGGAGTTTAATTAATCAAAGGGTGCCTAGGGCACATCCCAGGAATTACGGGTGACGGGGGGACACTGAAGGAATGCCAGTTCATTGCAGGGCACATGCTTACAAGCACTCGCACAGTAGGGGGCAGTGCATCACTGTCAGCCTCCTCAAAATTCTACAGCCAATCATTTAATGTTTGTCATGCTCAGGGAATCAGATACTTTATTTTTGTAACTTTTATTGTACGTTTTCATATTTCCTCACAAATTTCTATCTCAGGGTCGAGGGCAGTGCTGGCGATTCGAGGTCACGTCAGTACTTCTCTACTCGATTCATCAGTACAATAACAGATTTCTTGGAGAACCAAGAATGAACAACTTTATTTTTTTTAAATAACTTATTGGCCAACTTCCTCTTTTAGAGATCCTCCTTGTGTTGCTTTAGCTCCTTAATTACAGAAGCATAATTAAAATATTTGTATGGGTGGATATTAATAATAATTTTATGCTTAGCCATTTGAGCTGCTATGAGTAATTTTAATTATCTTGCTGTAAGATAAACCCCTTTTAGTCTTCATATTGCAGCTGCTGGGTCAGCATCTATCTGCCATTACCCATCGTTGTCCTGTCTTACCAGTCTGTGTTAAAGCTCCCCCCCCCCCTCTGTCAGACCCCGGCCATGAGGTTTGATGCCTCGATCCTTTGACTGGAGACACTGGACCTAAATGGCGCAGCATGACTTTGTCCCAGCCTGGCTTAACTTCTCCACGCCTCAGCCCACCAAGGTGAGACGCGGTCGTGTCAAACTGAAGGGGAAAGGATGATGCCCACATACTTGCAGAGGCTGGTAGACATATTCTCTCACTGCTTTAGAAATATCGTCCTACTTATGCAATTCTTAAAAAAAAACAATGTAATAAGTTTTGCATTGTCCGTGGATTTCCTTTTATTGAATTTAGGTGGTTAGAGCATTTCATGACTGTAGGTACAGTAAAAAGCAGTTATAACACACTTCAAGGGACCTGGCAAAACAGTCCATTATATCCAGAGTTGCTGTAAGCCCAGGACACAACTACAGGACACCATTTACTCATGCCACACCCCAGCAGACACACTTGTGGTATAGATTATTATATTGTACATGTAGTAATCCAGCTTTACCTGACCAGAGGCGTCACTATTAATAATCCTGACTACATATCTGCGCTGCATATCATCGGCACGCCACTTGCCTTGTAGGCAGAGCTGCTTGTCCGTTATAGCCGAACAAAACTACAGCTAAAAGCGGCCCTGGGGACCAAATTGTTTGTCCGATATAAGCAAAATTCCGTTATATGTGAGTCCACTATATCCAATGCTTTTTCTGCATGTTCTTAAAGGCGCACTGCCGGGACCAATGGACCTCGTCTGTTATAGACGATATTCCGTTATAAGCGAGTCCACTATAACGGAATTTTACTGTATAATGAGATCTTAGGTGCATTCCTCTTGTTGACCACATGGGGTCAGTCATGAGTCACTTCATGGCTGGAAATGAGCTGCTGTTAGCCTGTGTGAGTGAGGCAGTGAACAGAGGCCGCTGGTTCAGGCATGTGACCTCCATCCCCCGTTCCTCAAACCTTTAGTCCCCTGCAGCTGGTTTTGAGAGGCCCGGAGAGCACCTCCCCCGTGGCTCAGGCCGACCCGGCGTGAGCAGGAGGCGCCACAACTCATCTGATGGCTTCTTCAACAACGGGCCGCTCCGAGCCCCGACAGGTGACCTCGATTTCCAATCCCTGCTCATCTGACTGCTAAACATGCTTTCTAGCTGCCAGGATGTAGCATGGCCATTATCCCATGTAAAGATCTTTTCATCTTAGAAGAGGAATGTTGTACCACTATCCTGAACTTAATTCCAGAAATATCCGGCATTATAAGTATTTAAAAAATCGCCTAAAAGGGGAGCACTTGAGTTACTTCAGTGATTGTGAGCACATCTTGTGATTCTGCAGTTTAAGTATATAGCTCTGAGATAATAGCCGTGTCTGCGGTTTGTCGCCCCCTCCAGGCGAAGCATGGCAGCAGCCATCGCTGCTGCGGCACGATTCGGTGGACTCGGGCGTGTCCAAGGGGAGTCAGAGCGGGCTGGCAGGCGGGGGCCCTGGCTGGAAGGAGACTCCCAGCTGGCACTCGGCACCGCGTGCAGGCGAGGCGCCACACCCCCACCCCCACCCCCACCACCGTCAGAAGCGGGGGGAGCGGGAGCGGGAGCGCCAGGGCCATCGGCAGCGTGGTGGTACTGTCCACCCGAGGAAGGCTGCCCCCTTCCAGGACAAGTTCTCCGGAGAGGAGCGCAGGGATGGCAAGGAGGAGAAGCTGAAATTTGTGGACGAAGATTTTGTGAGTGATGCAGGATTCCACCCCCCCCCCCCCTGCCTCCCCTGTAATATTTAACACACTGCTGTAAACCCTGCTTCATCATGCACTGGGAGAGCTGAGAGCTGGGGAACCTTGCCTGTATCTTAGGCTGAGGCAGCAGGCACTCTTGCCACAATATGTTCATTAATTTATTTTACGTCATTTTAATAAAGATGACGGCTCTTTCAGGATGCAAGTTGCTTTCTTCGTTAACAGCCTCTATTGGTGTAAAGCTAGCAGTGGCACAGATATAGAAGCGAAGAATCTCACTTAGACACGGTCACACACTAACGAGAAACAAGCATTCCATGGTTATAACATTTACTATTAAAAGATGCCCAAATACACATATTTACACTATTTAAAGTGTGGTGCAGTGCAAAGCACGCTGGTAATTCCACAATTAGTCCTGCTGACCAACCCCACAGCATCTCGTTATTCGTCAGCCAATCCCAGACAGCGGGTGGGACACACAAAAAAGTTTGTTTCTGGAATCCTGCACAGGCAGTGTGCCGAAACAGTGATCACTGCGGAGATTATAGCTCTACGCTGTATTGCCGAAATAGCTTTGATTCCGTCTATTTTGTCCATGGTATATGGAGGTATATGGTCACCTTGAAGGACTGCAGATTAAGTATCCTGGATTGTAAAAAAAAAAAAAAAACATGGGGTTTTGATAGTATGAATGCTAAGTGATGACATGTTGACGCATTGATTGTTTCTCTACAACAGCCCTCTCTTAACTCAGAAGCTAGCGGAAAGCCTGCAGGTCAGACGCGAGTCTTGGCACCCCCTGCTGGAGTGTGGGGTGAGTGCAGTCTCCTTTTTTTAATGCAAAGTTATATACAAGTTCAAAAAGGGTGAGCCACCTCACTGCATCTCTGCAGAAAACCCCCCCAGCACCAAGCAACCCGTCTCCAAGATGCTCGTCATTAAGAAAGTCTCTAAGGAGGACTCGGGTGCTGTGTTCTCCGCTGGCTTCGCCAGCACCGGTTTCCTGCCCACCAATGGCAACAAAGTCCCCATCTCCGGCCCGAGCATTTACAAAAACCTGGTGCCCAAGTCCACTGCCGCCACAAAGGTACCACCCCCATAAGTCCTCATTTACACGAATAAAATGGTTAGAGGTAGCTGTCACCTCATGTTTCAGTCCATACTGCTCCTTTCCTTTGTACTGATTCAGTGGAGTCATTTTTTGTGTTTCGGGGTGAAAACTGCTTGATTTAACTTTGATTCCGAAACCTGTTGAAGTTAAGCTCTCCCAAACTGGTGCCTCAGAACGCGACCTCTGGTATCATTTATTATGCTTGGATGACCGTTTATTATAGAACAGCCAATAAGGTTAGGTGTTTATGTGTGGAAGGCTGTTGGTTGGTTGAGATGTTGATGGTGTTTGGCGGTAGCTGATTTGCTGTGTGGGCTGGGGCTGTGCAGACAGGCCCTTGGAAAGCCAATGGAAGGGAGGCTAAACCAGCCCTGCACCTCTCCGGCCAAGACTCCGCCTTTGTCAGCCCTGTCTCTGCACCCAAACCCCAGGCCTCCGTCAGCACCCCTTCCCAAGCTGTCCCCAGGGAGGTGGGTCGTTGTTCCATCACATTTCAGGTTCCGGGTAACGGATATTAACTTCCAGCTCGACTGTTGTCTATGTAGCTTTGAGGAAACACTCAATCACATGTTTGGCTGCAGCTGGAAGCCAGGCTCTCTACACCTATACTGCAGTATTGTTTATTTTGGCGAAATGCAGATTTTGGGCTAGCTGATGCTTCTGAAAGGGCCCCCTTTCCCTTTGGATGTGTCTTGCTGCTTCTCTGTTGAGAGATCAGGTGAGGGGCATAGGAGTAGCGTGTTTGGGTGGGGGGCAGGTTCTACAGATGGTCCAACCTTTTTTTTTTTGACGTTTTTCAGGCCTTATTTTGCTGGTTCAGTCCATGCCAAAGTATCTGTGCCCATTTACATTTAGTGTTTCTTTAAGAGGGGGGGCCCTTTTGATACCTACGTAATTCCCACTGTTCTCCCTTTAGCTCCCCTCCAGCACCACCCCGCCCATTGACATCACGCCACCGCGGCTCAAACTGATGCGGCGCGGCCCTGACCGCAAGAGTGACTTCCTGAGGGCCCTGAAGGACGAGCGCAATGGCGAGCGGAGTTCCAGTGGCAGTCCTGGGACCTTGGGAGAGGTGTGTGGAGAATGGGGGCATGTGAGCATGGCCTAACCCGTCACTGGTAGATCTGAGCATGCACCGTGTCTCACCCTGCAGGGCGAGGGCAGCACTCCGGACGCCAAGGGGTACGGCGAAGGCGTCTGCCACAAAAATGGCATCGCCCATTCCCTCAGCGACTCGGACAACGAGCCCCAGTTCCTCTCCAGCTCCCTCGAGGCTGAGCACAGGTAAGCAGCAGCAGGTTTCCTTCCGCGTGCAGCTGACTGGGAGCTCGCTCGCAGAGAACTTTCCTACAACGATCAGAATGGTGCTAATTTGGTGTGCAGCTCAGCTAGTTAGTGATCAGTGTCCATGTCTGGAAGGTTGTGGGTTCAAATCCTGTGGCTGGTCATGTTACCCCTGAGCCCTCTGACTAGGCCCTTAACCTCGACTGCTTCAGGGATCCTGGTTGACACTGATCACTGATCCTCCCCTAAATGTCACATTGGAGAAAACCATCTGCTGAATGAATGGATCTAAATATTTGTTTTGGGTTATTTATCAAAAGTGAATTTAGAAGCTTTATTCACTTTGGAGGTTTATACTGATGCCTGGTTTACCATGCAAACCAGGGGAAAGTGCAGCCGGTGTAGTGAAATGCGTCTGCCTTCTCCAGGTTGCTGAAGGCGATGGGTTGGCAGGAACATCCGGAGAATGACGAGAGCTTCCAACCCCTGACAGAAGACGAGCTGAAGGAATTTCAGACGAAAACTGAACAGGTCAGAATTTCTGTTACTATTAATTTATTCCCACCATGATCCCTTACCTGGTCTCCTGCATATCCTGAATGTTCTTTTTGCACCTTTCCTTGATGAATTAGCCCTCCTATTGTATTCCTCGTTGTATTTGTATACTGTGTAGCTCTTACTTCAGTGCTAAATTGTACTTGTTACTATTCGTTTATTGGAATTTCAACAACGGCTGTACCTACTTCATTCTTTGACAGTGATGATGCTTATGATGTATTATCTGTTTCACTTGAATGTTGCTTTGGACAAAAGTGCCTGCTACATTAATATAAATGTAAGTGTCACTGAGACTCCCCCCCCCCCCCCCCCCAGCTGAAGAAGAACAGCTTTGGGAGGAATGGCCTGCTTCTGAAGACAAGGGGCGTCACCCTGCAGTACGCCCCCTGGAGGCACACCGTGGACCTGGATGTGGACGAGAGCTCCGAAACAAGCAGTAGCCAGACCTCGGACGACGAGAATACCTAAGAGATTCCTCTCTCTCTTTCCGAAGTTTTTTTTTTTTCTTTTCTTGCACAAGGGAAACAATCATATCCCATCGAAGAAGGAAATGTCAGCTTCTGTAGCAGTTTTTCTTCCGGCTCCCTGTCGTCTCCATCTCCCTGCTTTATGGGACTGTGTTTGGCAGAAGGAAGGGTGATGCACATGAGATTTTGCTTTAAATGAAAAAACGGAGAGGGAAAAAAAAGACTAACTTATAATGATGAAGAGATTAACAATAAAAAGGTTGAGTTCCTAATGAAGTGATACACCTTCGGGCAGAACTGGCTGTGAGGGGCTTGGGGGGGGGGGTGTGCGTGTGACAAGGACATGGAAAGCCTAGAACAATCCGTGTAATAAATGAGTAAATGAGTGAAGCCAGTTTTGTCTGGAACCATGATCAGCTCCACTTCAAATAAAGTGCTGTTTGTCAGGGTAGATTTGTGCACTAGTCACTAAAGCACTAGTCAGTGATTTACCATGATCAGGTCTTACCTGTATTCCTACCACTATCAAAGCATGTGGGGTCTCCTCTCTCTACCCCTTATTTGGACACCTTTGTTTCCAAAATCAGTCATACCCCTCTGCCTCATTCTTGAAAATTTTTCATAATCAGCCTGGTGAATATTGCAAAAATAGTGATGGTGCCATTGTTGACGGCCAGGCTCACACCGTCTTCTACACAGATACTGCTTCAGTGACCAATATTTGTGTAACTCCATGGCATGTAAGAGGATGGTTTTATTTTGACTCAAAACAGGCAGTAAATGATAGCTGGTGTACAAATTACTAAAAAATTATGAAATTCCTTCTAATTAATCTCATTAGTGAAATGGTAAATTTTCTTTGTCCAGTTTGAATTGCAGACGGAGATTTTGGGCAGCTTTTAAAGGTAATAAGCTGTAAGCGTCCCTGATGGTGTTAAAATACTTCCTTGAGTTTGTGCACCTGATCCTACAGTTCAAAAAGTGACATCAGTGTCCATGATTGTACTCTAAACCCAAGTGCCTGTTGCTAAAAGTTTGTATACATCCCAAAATGGATAATGTACAGCTGGTAAGAATTTCCATATATATTTTTCCAGGTTTCTGCCCTGACATTTTAAAATGAGCTTTTAAAATCTGGAAGATCAGTTGCTGTGTTCCATACTTGGACAGTGTGTTAGTCTTTTGGTTGTTGCCAATTTTCAGTTGAATTCCTTAGAACATCTTGGCCCTTACCCTGTTCCACGGCTCTTAAAGCGCCAATGTTTTGCATACGTTTTTACCAAATGTACTAAAAGCTGCACTATTTCTGGTCAAACACCTACACAAATCTCCTTCAGCACAGCCCATTCCAAAGGACAATGGGAAAACAAGCAGACCCCAAGTCATTAACTAGCTGGTTAACAGGAAGGTCATGAAACCAGTTAAACACGTGCCGCATGACAGATTAAAAAAAGGCTGGCCACATCTGAATGTACATTTCTAAATAGTCGCATGATCCCTCTTAAATGGGTAAATGGCAAATCACTGCAAACTAAAGAGGCCAACTAATGTTGACAGGTAAACAAGCAGCTCATTGTCTCGCAGGTGCTGTTCAAGGTAATTTGAATTCCTTGCACCTGTATTTTCCCCCCGCCCCCAAATCAATCAACCAGGATGTCACAGGAAATTCAGAGTTGACAAATTAGGTTTTGCAAATAATCTTTAATGAAATACAACAGTTTTACAAAAAAAGGAACAGTTACAAAAAAAAAAATGAAGGTTTTATTTACAACACAGAGGAATCAAATGGAAGAGGAGTCGTGCTGGTAAGGGATGTCCGAGACAAAGGGCTCATGCAGAGGTCTGCAAAGGGTTTACTGGCTCTGCAGGCTGAAGGGGTGGAATAAGGAAAGTTAAAAATCAAGATCAGTTAGATTTAGATCGCCCTAAAACCAGTCACTACCTTGTCCTCCACCTCCTGTGTACTGCTGCCATTATGGACGTTGTCACCACTGCCGTTAACAGACGCCTCCTGCTTGGCCTTCTTTGAGTCACCATTCTTCACCAGGCTCTCTTCTGGTTTTCGCTGGGTGAAAAGATTTTGGATTCACCAGAACGCAGAGGTGGAAACCTCACATGACTGGACTTTGAAGCAAGACTGCTACAGGTTTGTTGACGGAGGGCTCATGTCATAAATGGCAAAAAAAAAAAACCACGTGCTGCATTCAAGACAAAAGCCTACCAACATCTTGTCAGATTATTCACAGAGGCTGTGTACACTCCAGAGGCAGTACTGACGGACTAACCAACCTTCCTGACCAGGTGGGAGATATCAGAAACAGCCTTTGATGTAGACGCGCCATCAGAGACAGGAACCTGGTGGGGACAACCAACGCACATGGGATTAACAGTATACCAGCTATGAATGATGTTCCACTGTGCAAGGTGAACTTCCCATAATGTGCAGCATTCCTCAAGGCTCAGCTGCATGGCATCTCACCTCAGATGAACTTCCACCATTTTCTGCTGAGAAGCCAGAAGATGAACCCCCTGCCTGGAGGAAAGAAGCACCACTTAGTTGAACAGGAGCCAAAATGAATGATGTCTGCGTTTAGGAAGGTAACAAGACACCACATTGCCCATACCAGCCCAAATAGCCAGAACATGAGCATACCAAAGTCTGTTGGATGGCCTCTGATGCCACCACACCAGTCTTCTGGCTCTCCTTGGCATCCTCCACTTTCTCCCTAATATCAGGTAGCAGCTGCCTCAGCTCCTCCATCTCCTTATGTTCCTCAGCAGCTCCCTCTTCTCCCCCTGCTTTGTCCAGGGTCTCCTGGAGCATTTCTGAAAAGGTCAAGGTATCAAGAAGTCTAGGCTTGCAGTCTGGCACAGATGTTTATATTATGAACCCAGAGATTCTGATTTCCCCCCCCCCTCATCATTTTCAATTAACTTGAGCTTAATTAGTAACAAAAGCCCAAGAAATCTGCAAAGATTCAGAACCAATATTACTGAGGAAGGTTGATCCTTCATCGGTCAAATGAAATTCAGCAGTCACACACAAGGCAGGTACTTACCAAGACGACTTTCGATGACCTGGATGGAGCTGTTGAAGTGCTGGATAGCCTTGCTGTACTGGCTGGTATAGCCATAAGTCAAGCCTAGTTGGTAGTGAGTTTCAGCCAAAAGGCGGCTATGGGAAGCTAAGTGCTTCAGCTGGATGGAAAGGCACTCCTGGAAATCTTCGAGGGCCTGGCTATAATTCCCTGGAAGGTACAACAAAGACTGACCATAGGCTCACCATCTCACTGACCAACCAAGGACAGTATTCAAATGTTCTTGAGTACAATAGTGCTCATCCCTTTGATCATCTTCAGATAGGCCATCATCTCAAAATATGCATCTTGCCTTACAGAATACAGCTCCTAGGATTACTTAAAGCCAGCAACCTGGACAGCATACTAAAGCAAATCTTAAGTTAGGCCAGCATCACAAACCAGATTCAGTGCCAACTTCTCCTAACTTGAGGTGTGCTTGTGCTGCCAGCAGCTGATCCTCTTTGCTTTCTTTCCTTGGAGAAATAAGTTGCATACCTTTTAGGCAAATGCATGCATGAGTAACATTTCACCTAACAATTGACTGTAGTAATGTTCCAGAAACATGCAGGTGCCCCATGTCCTACCTTTTGTAAATGACCTTGGCAACCTCCAACATCTCCCAAGCCAGCTGGAGATTGCCCACCTCTTCTTCTTCCCCCTCTTCATCATCACTTTCCTGTTTTGGTGATGGGATAAGAATTCAATTACACACACATTTTCCTTAAGGGTGAACAGAAATTATGGATTTGGGGCAGTGGTTCTTGCCTTTCCCTCCGCAGCCTGTTCCTCCTCCTCCTCCTCTTCATCATCATCATCATCACCACCATCGTCTGAAATTAGATGACAGTCCGAGACATTTAGATGACTTTTCCAGTGTGGCAAGTCACTATTACTGCTAGCTCAAGCTTCCCAGGATGAGATAGATGAGAATATAAGGCCAGCAACCCACAAGTGTCAAAGTGCTCATTCGGTATGATACTGTGGTACAGCCATCGGTTTGCGACATCTTTGTAGGATGGAGCAGGGGGTGTGTTGAAAGGTGGGTGTGTGCAATAGAGCAGACATGCCAAACATTTATATTGGCCGAATAGTTGATCCATTTCAAGAAATGGCCAGGTATTTATCAGACATAGGTCAGGTAATAACTATGATTAACAGACCTCCATAATTAAGTGACCATTTCATATATCTTCATATAGCAAAAGACATTTTCTATGCTCATTACTTAGTGGCATACTTCCAGAAAGCAAAGGAGATGACATGCATGGGTCCACACACCTCACCACACTTGTGTTGACACACCCACCAACCATCCTTTCAAAACACCCACTACTCCAGCCCGCAGAGACCTGCGCTTGGTCTTTTTAACTAAATCATTCAAAGGGCTGCTCCTTTGAGAGCAGGCAGTAGGAAAAGTGGCCAGCATAGGATCCATGAATGGGGGCTTCAGTTTGAAGAAGTAGAAGCATTACTCTATGATTAGCTTTAAAATTGAGAAATTCTTGCCTGGGACAAAACCAAGTTGGTTCTACAGCCAGAGGACCAATCCAAGGTTAGAGCTCTTGGAGGTCCATCAATTGGAAGTGCCTCCTATGTGGGGTACAATCCCTCCAATCCCAATGCGTGACAAAAACCTCAGAGGCTTGTGTTTTATCTATAGTGAGCCAGACAATGTTTCCATTCAAGTGCAGTTGCTCAGGTAACACCAGTCCACGTTAGTGACTAGCAATATTTTAGGTTATGATTATAGCTATCTTTTAATGGACAAACTGCAAGAGGGATTGTAATTGGCTATACAGCATTCAGCCAGTCTAGTATACACAGAAACTACCAGTGCAGCCAAGACACTAAAACACCGATCCCAGTGAGTGCTTTTCCAGTATAAATGTGCACCCAGCCACCCAGTTTACCTCCAGCTTCCTCTGTATTCTCTACTTCCTCCGCCATATTGCCTCCATCGGTGGCTTTCGTACCCATAACCCCCACCTTTGACTCCTCCCCCTCCCCTACTTCTGAAGTCTTCTCATTGCCTTCTTCCATTGCCACATCATTATTCTCAGAGGAACACTGATCCTCTACAGGGGGTGTGCCAGATTCTTTGGCAGAAGAGGCCACAGCTGCTCCATCCTGTTCCTGAGCCACCTCTGCTTCAGTCTCCCCTTTATCTCCCTCTGCCTTCCCTTTCTCAACCTCCTTTTCTGACATGGCATCATAAACTTGCACTCGGAGCTCATCTCTGGTTTCCTCTGAAGTTATGACAAAGCAGAGCCTAGAGTGAGATGCTGCACCACAGTGCAGGACTGTGGTCCACCACTAAAACCATTAACCCCACAAGGAAACAAGTTCATACCTGTAGGAGTAAAAGTGAAGAGGCCAGCTAAAAAGCAGAAGTTTCTACAATAGGGTTAACCTGATCCACTCTTGATACAAATGCTGAATGGATCAAATAAGGTATCTGCTGATTCAAAGTCTCAATCCTGTTATTTAAAATGTACACACACACACACACACACACACACACACACACACACACACACACACACACACACACACACACTTACTGCAGTGTGTAAGAGAACCTTAGTCAGTGCAACCGATGTAAATTTGGCAAATTATAGATTTAGCTTTGATACCCAGAAAACTGCCTGGATCACCCCCACTTACAATCAAATTTCAACTTGTGACATCACTGTTCTGAGACACCTCACAGTCAGAAGCATGTGTTCAACACCAGGCTCACAGCAATTAGCCCAACAAATGGGTTGTAGAGGCAAAAAGCACCACCAACCATCCAAGTTGTCTGCACTCTCGATCTTTGAATCATCTTGTTTTGCCGCTTCATCAGACTCTTCCTCGGGGACGCCATCCAGGGCATTTCCCAGTACAGTGTTCTCCATTCTTGAACCACAGAAAGGCATTAGTTACATTAAACATAAAATTCCCATTCATCTGAAAAATAACTGCAGACAAGAACATGCCTCTTACTAGAGGTCCAGGACAGCAAATTAACCTTGCTTTAGTCATTTCCTGAACACTACTATTTGCAAGTTTTTGTCCAATTATACTGGTATTCAAAGTATAGCATTTAATACTCATGTGAAGGTAAGTAGACCTTGGATTCCAAGACTAGCATGCATATGAGCAAGCCATTTTATCTAGTCAATTCTGCATATGGACTGTGGTACTCCATTTAGGGTAGTGCACATCCATATGCACACAAACTGTGTACAAAAGGGTCATCACAGGCACAGCCTTACCTTGCCAGATCGAGCAGAGCCTTTCCACACAGAAAGAAAGCTTCGCCACATTCATCAGCTGTATCCCCATATTTCTTGGCTCTGAACAGAAAAAATTGCAAATCTCTTTCCACCCTCAGACAATACTTGTCCCGCAGTTGTTCTGCATGCCATCCAGAATTTAATACTTAAGAAATACCCATCACTACAAGCATCCATTTCAAACAAGGTGCACCACTGCATACTATAACAAAGACCAATTCCATGCGTACAGGGCAGGTTCAAAGCTGGACCCTCGCCTACTCACAGCATGCTACAGGCGTCTTGGAAGACGGCGACAGCTGATACCACGTCGCCCATAACCATGTGGCGGTTTCCTGTCCCGATCAACTTCTTTGCTTCTTCCATAACAGCCCTGGGGCTAGTGAAGCAGTCATTTTAAGTCAAATTTTAAAGAACCGTGCGCTATAACGTTTAAAGCTAATTATAAATTAATAAAAGTGCTTTTCCCGCAGATAATTAGGTAACGCATCACAGAGCAAAACTTTCGCATTGAAGTCGAAATCAATCACGTGACCAACCCCATAGCATTACGTCATACCACATGCAAGGTCTCATTACCAAACACAATAATTAAAACTTTCTGGAAAGAGTAGCTGCATCACACACGGCTGTTTTGAGTGGAAACTCACCTTTCGGTGGTGCTCGACGAAGAACAAGGCTTTTCATCCATGCTTTTTTATATTTAAAAAAATAAAATAAAAAATAAAATTAAAAAAAAGTACATTAAAAGCAAATCAGCGAAAACATGGGCAAATTATTCCTGGCTTAAATATATCACGGAATATGGGTGGAATCAACACGCCACTACGTTTCTGAAATTGTGAAAGATTTACACTAGTCAGTTTTCAGAAGCGCGCTTGCACTGTTGTTTGCTTTGCTCAGACATGCGTCATGAAGTCCCACCCCCGGCCATGCAAGCGTGTCCGCGATCAGCCACACACTAAAAAAAAAATAAACTGCAATAGCGCGTCTCCGCAGCTCCAATGCTAGTCTTCAATATTTTTACTGGAATTAGCATTGGAGGTGAAACAGTAGTTTGTACACAGGCAGTAACTTCGGCTGACAGCCTGACACATTAGCGCCTTCTTCACAAAAGAAGCCCGCTAACGTGCTACAACAAGCCGCTTTAGAAGAGTCCCCCCCCCACAACGCCATTAAAAAAGGAACTTAAATAAGTTCAAAGGCAACAACGGGCTGGAAAGAGGGAGGAAGAACGGCACGACGAAACGGAAACTAAGCGAGCACCCTGATCCAGGCAGCAGGGCATACACTTGGGCACCTGGCTGCGGAGTCGTGCCGAGCAGACCCACCGTCCAGCACTTGCACAGTAACTCGTTTCGCCTCGCGGTCCGAGAAAAAGCCTGGCGCGCCAATTCTAACCAACTTCAACTAGCCCGCGTCGCCCCCCCACATGCCTCACCTGTCTGCGTTTAAGGGGGCGGCCGACTCCTCTGGCATGTCCGCTTAAAAAACAAACACGAGGCGTGCTTTCCTATGGCACTCTTAAAACCTTAAAAACACACGGCTGCGCCCCGCTACCTCCTTACACGGGAAGAAAAGATGGCAGAGAAGCTTCTCTATCCCTTCACCCGTTCAGTTGGCGCCTTTAAATACAGAACGCGCGCTCACTTCCGCTGAACTTTGAACCCAGAATAAGTTGGGGGGGGGGATACGCGCGAGACAAATTTAAAGAGACAGTAAATGGAGACGACAGTCAATGTCCACCTATCGAACGAAACAATTACATGTGTATTTTCTATTTCAACGCTTTAATTATTAAGACAATGAGCCAGTAATTACGAAAAGTAACTTCTGACCAACACTGTAAATCAATTTACTTTCCCGCAGTAAAAATCGTAACCAAGCATATATGTTTTAGATTACATTTTAAATAAAATATTTCGTATTGCTCTGAATAAAAATAAGGAACTGATAGGGTTTTATTCATTTCATGCACTGAATAAAATGACAAAGTTATATATATATATATCTTTCAATGGTACGCTACTTTAACTCGAGATATATTTTAAATGATACGATTCATGATTTTTCTACATTTTTTGATAGTGAGAAAAAAAATGTGAATGTGTGTATCTTCTAAATGTTCCAGTAGATGGCGTTAACATTACTCTTTAAACGTTCAAATAACCATCACTTGAGAAGAGCAGCACGGTGGGTCATTGGGTAATACTCACACAAGGGTGGGACTGGGATTAGATTTCGGCCCTGGATTTTTGGTCTCTGATGGCCCCAGACATCTGGCATTGCCAGACCTTTTATAGGGCTTTTATGTTTTACCGAACGTACCTCCTTCATGCCTTCATAGTTGTGCGAAAAACAAATGAACTTTACAAAGCCTGAGGGATAAACTTATTTCCACAGTGCTTTGATTAATAGATGCATACATAGATAATTAAAAGCAGAAGTGTTTTTTTCTATTGTTTTTCCTTTAAAATACACTGTATGGACAGAAGTGTTGGGACATCTGGCCATTACACCCACAGGAACTTTTATGACATCCCATTCTAAATACATGGGAATCAATATGGAGTTTGTTGCAGGTGCAGCATGTGGCTCAGTAGGCTAAGCCTCTGTGCTTGTGATCAGAAGGTTGCTGGTTTGAGCTAGCCCTGCCATGTCACTGTGTCACTGTGTCACTGTGACCTTGAACAAGGCCCTTAAAGCCCAGCAACAGCCCTTTGCAGCCATCTTGCTCTCACCAAAAGAGAGCAAGTTGGGGGGACCATAAAAAGAATTTCCACTTGGGGATCAATAACATATCTATTATTATTATTATTATTATTATTATTATAACAGCTGACAGTCTTCTGGGAAGGCTTTCCATAAGATTATGGAGTGCTTCTGTGGGAATTTTTGCCCATTCATCAAGAAGAGCTTATCTGAGATCGGGTACTGATGTTGGACATGAAGGCCTCACTCACAATCTCTGTTCTAGTTCAATCCAAAGGTGTTCAGTGGGGCACAGTCATGCCGGAACAGAAAAGGGCCTTAAGAACACAAGAAACTTACAAACGAGAGGAGGCCATTCAGCCCATCAAGCTCATTTGGGGAGAACTCAACTAATAGCTCAGAGTTGTTAAAATTTTATCTAGCTCTGATTTAAAGGAACCCAGGGTTTTAGCTTGTGCTACACTAACAGGAAGACTATTCCATACTCTAACTACACACTGTGTAAAGAAGTGCTTTCTCAAATCCATTTTAAAATGTTCTCCGTCTAATTTCCACCTATGGCCACGAGTTCTAGTATTTAACCTAATATTGAAGTAGCCATTTGGCTGAGCAGCATCTAGACCTGTTAGACTCTTACATACTGTACCTGGATCATGTCCCCCCTTAGTCTCGTTTGCTCGAGGCTGAACAGATTCAGCTCAGCTAACCTCTCCTCATAAGACATTCCTCTAAGACCGGGAATCATTCTCGTAGCCCTACGTTACACCTTTTCCAAGGCAGCAATGTCCCTTTTTTTTGCAATTATATTTTTATTGATTTTTCGTTTAATCCCCCAAAAAATAAAAATAAAAAAATAAATACTAAAGTAACAGCAATAGTAACAATAAATAAAAATTCAAATTAAATCATAATAACAATCACTGATTAAAAAAAAACACATGGTAGAGGTCAAAATGTATATATAGACATATAGACAAATTAAGGAGGATTATAACAGATCTACAAAGGGCCATATTTTAACAAATAACTCTGTTTTTCCCTGTAGGCTGTATGTCAATCGATCCAAGGAAATGATCTCTTAACAGTTGGGTGAACAAGTCAAATGTTGGAGGTTGTCACTTTTTCCATTTTAACAGAATATACACTTCTTTGGAGATCAGTCCAATTCTTTTAGAAGAAATGGGGTCCATCTTGCCATCCGTGTCTGTTCCGAAAAGGTATCTCACAGGTGTCTTGTCATGTCCAATATCATTTCTGAAAAGACATGCATCATATTCCAGAACTGTTGCAAACTAGCACAGCCCCAAAATATATACATCATCTATCCCCTGTAAGCTTTACATCTGAGACATAGTGGTGATACATTGGAGTATATTGTATGTAGTCGAACTGGGGTTAGGTAAGTTCGTTGAATAAATGTATAGTTTTGCTACACAATTTTATTACACAAAAATGATGGATATGCAGCATTATATATATGATCCCATTGAACCTCTTCTAAGACTTGGTCAATGTCTCATTGGCAGACTGCTTTAAGTGAAGGTAAAGAAGAGCTAACATGATCCTGTGATGCCCAGTAATATACTGGGAGGTCTAACCCACCCTTCTTAGGTTTAATCAGTTTGCTAAATGCTAATCTTGGGGGCTGATTCTTCCAAATAAACCAGTTAATGCACCTGTTTATAGGTTTAAAAAATGAAGTGCTTAAATAACAAGGTAAAGACTGAAATATATAATTATATCTTGGTAGAATATCAGTTTTAATTAAATTTATCCTACCAAGGAGAGGAAGAGGCAACAGATTCCATCTATCAATGACCTTATGAAAAAGTGTAGAGTAATTTATATCTAGCAAATCTGCAAGATCGGGGGATATGTTTACCCCTAGATACTTAAAACCTTTCTGTGCCCAATCAAAAGGAGAGATAGTCTGGAGTTCCCTAGGTATTGGTCAACTCACAAGACAAGCAGTAACAAGTAATAACTTTGTGAAATTGATTCTATATCCAGAAATTTCCCCAGTTTTTGAAATAATATCTATTACAGCAGGTAGAGAAAACTCTGGTTCTGAAAGATAAAGTAAGATGTCATCTGCATATAGTGAGATTTTATTTTGTATACTTCTAATATCAGCTCTTCAGACAGCCTGACTGGTACATATGGCTTCTGCCAGAGGCTCTATGGCTCAATCAAATAAAAGAGGGGACAGAGGGCAACCCTGTCAACAGCCTCTAGACAATTTAAACCTCTCTGAAAGGATACCATGACCCACTAGGATAACACCCACTTCAAGGGCATTTCCTCTTTGGCATAAGGCAACATGACCTCTTCAAGTATTTTGAGGTATTCAAACTGATCCATGATCCCTGGTATGTGATAAATAGGCTCTCGACCATAATATGAGAAACATCCCCATATCATGATGCTTGCACCACCATGCTTCACTGTCTTCACAGTGTACTGTGGCTTGAATTCAGTGTTTGGGGGTCATCTGACAAACTGTCTGACCAAAAAAGAACAATCTTGCTTCCATCAGTCCACAAAATGTTGCAGCGTTTCTCTTTAGACTAGTCAGTGTGTTCTTTGGCAAATTGTAACCTCTTCAGCACGTGTCTTTTTTTCAGCAATGGGATTTTGTGGGGGCTTTTTGCAGATAGCTTGGCTTCACATAGGCGTCATCTGATTGTAACAGTACTCACAAGTAACTTTAGACCTTCTTTGATCTTCCTGGAGCTGATCATTGGCTGAGTCTTTGCCATTTTGGCTGTTCTTCGATCCATTCGATTGGTAGTTTTTTGTTTTCGTCCACGTCTTTTAGGTTTTGGTTGCCATTTTAAAGCATTTGCGATCATTTTAGCTGAGCAGCCTATCATTTTCTGTTGCTCCTGAGCTTTGCTCGGTCGCCATTCGGGGCCGGGAGGACATTTTCCACTTTTTTCCCGCTCCGGCAGTAGCC